GTTGTATTCGTTATCCATAATTTTCCAGGAGTATTCGTCCTTGGGTACCCCAAGGTGTATTCCCCATCGAGCCTGTTCATTAAGCCTGTCCACAATTGTGCTCAAAGGTCGTAGAAGTCCATGACGAATACTCCTCTCACTGGTGGATCGAGGGTGTTATGGAGCAGGTTGGGTTGGGTTGTTTCGAGGCAAGGAAATTGAAGATTCGGGGTTGGGTTTTTGTCTTGTGTGGCACCAGGTGTCAACAAACATATATTCTGTATACACATATCTAGTTAGTTTAGATATGTTTGTTGTAGTCTAGCTAGGCTAGTTCTTAGAGGAGACAATATTTTGTATTTGTATCTCACCTCCCTTCTTCCTAGTCACACTTTTTCCCACTACTTAATAACATGGTATTGAGCTAGGTTTTTTTTGTTTGTTTTTTTTTTGTTTTTTTTTTTTTCCGTTGTTATTCACGCTTCCGCCGCTACTGTAGAGTCGTGAGTCGGCCGCCAGCCGCCAGTCGGCCGCCAGCCTCATGAGTCACTTGTGCCTTGTGGATTGTCATTCACCCAATGCCGCCAGTCCTAGTGGCTCCTAGCTAGCTCCTCAGCGTGCTGCTCCTAGTAGCTCCTCTCGCGCGTACTTCCTCCTCGTTTGCTCCCTACTCCTCCTAGCAGCTCCTAGCCTCCTGCCAGCCGCTCACAAGACGCTGTCCATCCGATCCCAGCTTGTCACCTCTTGCAACCAGCCTGCCGCCAGCTAGCCGCCACTGTCGTCTTACTACCACTCTCTCTCCTGCTACTGTCAACCAACCGCTGGCCACTGCTGCTACTAGCCTCCTGCTCGCTGCCACTGCTCTGGCCACAGTCGCCACTGCTACTACCTTCATCAGTGCTCCTCTAGCTCCTAGTGCCTCCCACTAGTCTCCTTCTCATTTCTAGAGTTCCATGATGCCTCTCCTCATGGCATGATGGCCTCGTTAGGGTCAGTCCCTTAGCCAGACCGCTGGGAACTTCCCTCTGCTCTCTAGTTTCTCGCTCACCGTCTACAGCTGGTGAGCCCGCACATAGACTGCACGCTCCTAGATGATCACATTAGTTACCTCCTTGGCTTCTGGCTCCACGACCCCGACGTCTGTTTCCGGGCTCTCTGGCCAGCGCCGCAGCAGCAGCAGCCGCAGCAACCGCATCGGAGGAGGAGTGGCGGGACTCGGTGGAGGCTCTGGAGGTGCGGCCCTAGGGCGGTCACTGCCCTAGGGCAAGTGTGGTTTCTCTGGAGGACCGGGGGCCTTGGGGCCTAGTAGTCTAGGTCCCACCACTGTGTCTAGTCTAGGAGCCTCTACTACATGTTTCCTAGGCTCCTCTCCTGCCCCTCCTGCTGCGGCCCTCTCCTTTATCCTTGAATCTGGTGCGTCTCATTGCTTTTTTAGAGGCTGTAATGCTCTCACTTCCAGCGCATGTCCGCGTCGCCCTAGCTGACTTCTCAGCCACAATTGTCGCACACAGTACCACCACTCTCCCCTGTCCAGCTGTCCCCTCCGGCTCCCTCACCGGTCTGCACATCCCCTTGTTTGTCATGAACCTAGTGGGTGTCGGTCACCTCTAGGACCAAGGCGTCACCACTACGTTCTCTGGCCGCGAGAGGCACGCAGCTTGCACGGACACAGCCACCGGTCGCCACCTAGCCACGTTTGAGCGTGACCCAGCGTTCGGTCTCTTCACCCTGCATACTGAGTTACCGCGAGTTGCTGTGTCTGCTGAGGCACTATAGCCGCTTCGTGCTCATGTTGTTTCAACTCCCACCCGACCCTTCTGTGGCACCACCGCTTAGTTCACCCTGCACTCACGCGTCTTAGGCACATGTCCCAGCACGGTCTAGTTACTGGTCTTCGTGCGTCGCTCCCAGCCCTGCCTGCATTGGTAGCACCACTGTGCACCTCCTGCGTCAAGGGCCAGCAGCAGGCCGCCCCTCACTCCTCCTTGTTTCCTCCTACCACAGCGCCACTACAGACACTGCACATGGACGTCTGGGGCCCTACCCCCATCCATGGTCTTAGTCGGGAGCGCTACCTCCTAGTCATTGTTGACGACTTCTCGAGTTTCAACATGGTGTTCCCATTGGAGCGGAAGGCCGACGTACCTACTGTTCTCCTACCGTGGCTGCTTACTGTTTCACTTATCACCGCTTAGCACCACTCAGTTGCACTCTGACCATGGTGGAGAGTTTGCATCGGGCACTCTGAGACTGTTTTTTTGTATGGAGGGCATCCGCCGGACGTACACACTGCCGGACTCCCCACAACAGAATGGGGTCGCTGAGCGATACATTGGTCTGGTCATGGAGGTAGCTAGCACCTCCTTGGTCCACGCTGGTGAACCCCGTTTTCTGTGGCCGTTCGCCGTGCGCTACGCAGCTCACCAACTTAACCTGTAGCCACGCTTGCACAGACCACAGGTTTTGCCGACCTGTCTCTGGACCAGGTCTCCTGATGTCGCTACTGTGTTCCACATCTGGGGTAGCCTTGCTGACGTCCGCACCACTGGCGCGGACAAGCTCTCAGCTCGCACTCGTCCGTGTGTCTTCCTCGGGTTTCCGCTTGACGCCTCTAACAAGCTGTTTTACGAATCGGTCCACCACCACTTCTACCACTCTCGTGACATTACCTTCAACGAGACGCTCCCCTACTACAAGCGTTTCCCTCACCACAATGCTCCTGTGCCTCCTCCTCCTCTCCTCCTCGTCCCTGGCCCCCCTGCTGCATCCCTCCCACCCCGCCTGGCCCCGTCTAATGTCACTCACGCCACTCCGTTCCCCTCGGTCAGGTGTGGGGGAGTCTGCTAACTCTGGGGGCCCAGCTGCTAGGTGCGCGCCAGCTGTCCTTGTGGCGCCTCCCCTAGCCTCGGTACCCTAGGCACCTCAGCCGTCTCCCCCCTCGCCTCAGTAGTAGCCACAGCCGCCGCAGCAAACTCAACGGCCGCAGCAGCAGGGGGCAGTGAGCTCTGAGGGTGAGGGTTCTGGGGGTGCTGGATCTATGGGTGGTGCGTCCGAGGGTGCTAGTCCTAGGGGTGCTGTTTCGGGGAGAGCCGCTGGTATCCAAGGTGCAGCTGGAGGCCCTGGAGAGGATAGGGAGCAGCAGCAGCAGCCACCGCCGTAGCAGAAGTAGCAGCAGCAGCAGTTCCCCTGACCGACCGCCTGTCCCTCCTCCAATGTGTGACCTTGTTTACGGCCCGCTGTTCCCTCCCCCGCACTCCTCTCCAGCTCATTCCCCCCTCTCCCCCTCTCCTACATCCCCTGACCTGTCTCCCCTCGCCCCTCGTCCTTAGTCCCCTGTTCTTCCCCACTTGGTCTGTCGTCCCTCTGGTGCTCGTCCTGTTTGTCCTCGTCCTAGTGTCCACCCTATGGTCTTTTGCTCACATGCTCCTCTAGTCCCAGTCCTTCCATTGCCTCCCCATCTCTGCTCCATGCTTGTATCCCCAGGGCGCAACCCAGACGCACTCGACATCCCTATCCCACGCTCTTACGTTGAGGCGGTGTCGGGGCTCTGGGAAGCCCAGGCGCGTTACATGGCTAGAGGCTTCAGTCAGCGAGAGGGTGTGGATTTCTTCCAGACATTCTCCTCTGCCTCGAAGTTGACTTCTCTTCGGGTGCTCTTCCACCTAGCCGCGCAGCATGACTACGAGCTTCATTTAGTCGACTTTTCGACAGCCTTCCTGCAGGGTAGTCTGCACGAGGAGATCTACCTCCGCCGCCCACTAGGGTTCTTTGGGTCCTTCCCGCCTGAGACCCAGTGGGGCTTGCGCCGCCCTGTCTACGACCTGCGTCAGGCACCACGTGAGTGGCACGACATGCTTCGCACCACACTCGCTGATTTGCAGTTCTTTCCATCCTCTGCTGACCCTTCTCTCTTTGTTCACACTGGTCAGACCCCGTTCTACATCCTAGTGTACGAAGACGAACTTATCTTTACTACTCCTGACAGAGTTGCACTAGCCTCAGTGAAGGCCGAGTTACTAAGGAGGCACACCTGCTCAGATCTTGGAGAGCTGAGGCGCTATCTGGGCTTCGAGATCTCTCGTGACCGTGCCACTCACACGATCACTCTTTCCCTGTCCCATATGGTGCAGCAGATCCTCCAGAGGTTCAGTCTCCAGTTCTCCTCAGCACAGCCCACCCCTCTGCCTGTGGATCACAAGCTCTCTGCTCCTATTTCGGCTGAGCCGGTCGAGGCTAGTGGTCCATACGCAGAGCTGGTGGGGTGCCTCATGTACCTGATGACGCGCACTCAAGCAGATCTAGCGTACCCTCTTAGTCTCTTGGCTCGCTTCGTTGCGACAGGCAACCACCGACTAGTCCACTGGTCGGCTGCCAAGAGGGTACTGCGGTATCTGGCGAGTACATCAGGTCTGGGGCTTGTTTTAGGAGGACGGGAGCCAGTGGTGCTCAGTGGACACACACACGCTTCGTGGGCCGACGACTTGGAGATGCTCAAGTTGTCTCAGGGCTACTCCTTTAGTCTTGGTGCTGGTGCAGTCTCGTGGAGGTCCACTAGGTCGTCGTCTGTAGCTCAGTTGAGCTGTGAGGCACAGATCTATGCTGGGGCCATGGCCGCTCAGGAGCTCCGCTGGCTGACGTTCTTGCTCACAGACTTAGGTGAGCAGCCCAAGTTTCCCCCGATCTTGTTTGCTTTCAATAAGGCCATGATCCTCCAGTGTCAAGAGGCTCGACTTGAGGGCAGGGCAAAGCACATCCAGCTGTGGCACTTCCTGCTGCGTGAGTTGCAGTAGTGCGGAAATGCTCGAGTAGTGCACATGGCCACAGAGGCCAACATTGCTGATATCTTCACCAAGGCACTACCGCCTCGTGACCATCAGGCACACTTCATATTCACACCTTTTCCCGCTACTCTAACACCAGGCATGTGCTTGTGCGAAACTTGGGAAGGGGGTTAAAAAATGCCATTATGAAAGTAGTTCGGCGAGGATATGAATCCGCGAACAATATTGCAGTACTCACGAAGCTCACAACCAGGGCCCTAATTATCATACTTTTTTGTCTGATTGTCTAATTTTCAAGCTTTGTGTTTCTCTCTCTCTCTCTCTCTCTCTCTCTCTCTCTCTCTCTCTCTCTCTCTCTCTCTCTCTCTCTCTCTCTCTATCTCTCTCTCTCTCTCTCTCTCTCTCTCTCTCTCTCTCTCTCTCTCTCTCTCTCTCTCTCTCTCGCTCTCTCTGTCTCTCTCTCATTTCTCAAACAACGGTTTTGAATATCTATGACTGGCTTAGACAACGATTTGAGATTTCTCTGATTTTTTCAGACTTGGTGTACCAGTTTCTCTGTTTTTTAGACAAGTGTTTTGAGTTTCTCTTAAAGAGAGAGATACAGGTGTGTAGCTTCGCACACATATCCCTTGTTTTATGCCACCACGCCACACGGCATTCCCCCCTGCGTGCTCTGGGTATGAGCCTTCCCGAGCCTCCTCGGGCAACATATGTTTGAGCAGGACACTTAGCAGTTCTATAGCCAATTGGTCCAGTCACAGCCCTCTGCAACCCATGATTTGGCTTGACAACACACAGCGGGAAGAAGGCTAAATCAAGGACAGGCTCACATGAAATCGCGACAGCATTCATGCACCGCTTTACAGAACCACACCACATTCCCCTCCCATAACGACGTCTCGCACCAAGTTCCAACACATCGCTCGTTAAGTGCCCGCCTGTGTCGCCATGGCAACCAAGCCCTCCCCACCCGTTTCTTGCTGCTGCACCACTCACATCTCCTGTCAGTTCCTTGTATGGTGTCCCCTGTTATAATCACAATAGGCTTAGATGTGCCTATAATGAGAGATAGAGAGCACAGTCGGATTTCCGTCAGACTGCTTCAAATATTGATATCGATCTGGTCGCTGAATGAAACAGTGACCTGTAAGTTGAATCTGGAGCGCGTTGCTGTCGTCTATCAGCAGCAAGTTGAATCATGAAATTCCATGAAGATTTGACGACGCTATGGCGGTTTGATTGGCAGGAGGTATAGCAGCCACTATAGTCTTAGGAGTACAAACTTAGCAAGAAGAGTTAGAGGGAGATGGTTCCCAGCCTCTACATACCCCAAGAGCCGAGGTCCAGGTTGGTGGTACACCACCACAGAGTCCCCAACCATGAAGAGTCTCGAAACCAACCCTCCAAGGGGCTACACCAAGTGAAATGTAACACTACACGAAGTAACGTTACTATTTTCACTATTTAATATTTATCCGCGTCCCTTGGGCTTGAAATCTTGAGCTCTTGTTCCTGGATCTGCAAGATAAATTCTTCTTGAGTTGATGGGGGCTTGCTGCACACACCTGCGACACGATGGACACTTCACACTCGACAAAATAGAAAAAACACATGCGACACACAAACGACGACTTGACATGCGAGTTGTAAAAACTCGCTAATGTCTTGACCGACACAAACCACATTGTGATACACCATTCAAACACACACACAAGCACTGGATAGCAATGGCATAGACTCACAATTCATTCCATGCCATGCATGCACACACACAAACAAGGACGACAAGCCAAGTGCAAGCCATAGGGTTGCACCAACAAACTCCCCCTCGGATTGTTGGCCTTAGAATCTGCTCCCCTTAGTTCAGAGCCATCCCAGCAAGCTTGCAACACTTCCAATGCTGCTGCTCAACCAGCCTCTTGGTCATCATATCAGCGGGCTGTGCCGTCGTCTTCACGTAGTGCAACTCCACTTCACCCGAGGTTACCATGCTCCTCACCCAATGCCACTTCACCTTCATGTGCTTGGTAAGGCCATGAAGAACCGGATTCTTAGCCAATGCAATAGCACCCTGGCTATCACAATAGAGTGGGGTAGGTCCTTGCTGCTCCTCCCCCAATTCAGCTAGTAGACGCCGCTGCCACACAACCTCCCTTATGGCACGGAAGAGTGCCATGTACTCGGACTCCACCGAGCTCAATGCTTGGTCCACTTGCTTCTTGCTCTCCCAAGCTGTTGGGCCTCCACCAACATAGCAGATGAAGCCTCCCACACTTGTCATGTCCTCTGGTTCTGATGCCCAAGATGCATCAGAGAAGGCGGTGAGAAAGAGCCTCCCGGGTTCGACTCCATCCGCACCCTTTTGACGCCTTTGTGCCGCCGCGGAGTATTGCAGTCCAGCAGTTGCTGTTTGGCCAAGGTACTTGGCCACCCTCTCTCCAGCTGCTACCTGCTCTTCATTGGGGCATTGGACCACCCTAGCCAGCTGCCCGGTAGCAAAGGCTGCATCCGGCCTTGTGTGAACGGCCGCATACATGAGGCTGCCCACCAAGGAGTGAAAACGCCGCCTCTCCTCTTCACCAACACTTTCCTCCGCTGGTCCTTTCACACACTTGAACCCTGAGGGAAGAGGAGTAGCCATATGACCTTCACTCTTCCCAAAGTTTGCAGCCAAGGCCTCCAAGTACTTCTTTTGATGCACTCGCATCCACCGCTTCTCCACATCTCGCTCAATGTGAAGCCCAAGGTAGTAGTTGACGTCACCAAGGGTCTTGCACTTGAACTTGTCTTGAAGCTTCAGCATCACCTCCTTCACAAGGTCAGAGGAGGGTGAGAATATGAGGATGTCATCCACATAAACCACCATGAAGCTCCTCTGCTCCCCCTCGCCAAGCATGAACAAGGATTGATCGGCCGTTGAGGGAGTGAAGCCGATCGCCTCCAAGACTTCCCGCAGCTTGATGTACCATTGCCTAGGGGCTTGCTTGAGGCCATAGAGTGCTTTCTTCAGCTTCCACACTCTGCCACTCCCATCATTGTACCCCTCTGGCTGCTCCATGTAGGTCTCTTCCTCCAAAACGCCGTTGAGGAAGGCCGTTACAATGTCCATTTGCTTCACCACCCATCCTTTGATGGCCGCCGCGGCGAAGAGGGTTCGAAGGGTTGTACCCTTCACCACAGGGGCATACACTTCATTGTAGTCCTTCTTCTCTTGCTGCTGATACCCCTTGGCTACAAGTCTGCTCTTGTAGCGCTCAATGTTGCCGTCGGCGTCGGTCTTGCGCTTGAAGAGCCACTTGGAAGAAATCGCCTTCCGCCCCGGAGGTAGGTTCACCAAGTCAAACGTGTCGTTCTCGATGATGCTCCCCATTTCTTCATCTGAGGCCTTCTTCCACTCCTTCCCATTGGGGCCCTCCCAAGCCTCCTTGGGATTTGTAGGCTCCCCCGGTATCTCCACCGGAGAGAAGAAGGCAAAAGCGCACTCCTCGCTTTCATCTTCCGCATCATCGCCTAGCATGAGGGCCGAACCGGTCAAGGTTGAGTTGGCTGGTCCTCCAAGCCGTTCATAGCTCAACCTATTGGGGGGCTGAGTCCTCCTTCTCCCCCTTCCTTCCTCCTCTGCTGCAGGGAATTGAATGCTCTCATGGCTTTGCGGTAAGTCCGGTCGGTTCCCGCGAGCACTTGTAGCACGAGGCGGAAGTGGCGGTGCACACTCATTACCTTGCTGCACCTCCTCCTCCTCCTCATCCCCATTCATTTGGGGAGATTGCCTCGTGATTGTGCTGCTGCTACTCAGCTCCAAGGGCAGCTCCACATGCTCCAAGCCGGTCCTCTTCACCTCTCCAAGCCGCACACCAATCTTCGCTTGGTTCTCCGCCTTCCACTCCTTGTACGGTAAGTTCTCCATGAACTTGCAATCTCTGCTCACCAGGAACTTCTTGGTAAATGGGTCCCAAAGTAGCCATCCCTTGCTGTTTTGAGCCATGCCCAGGTGCACGGCCCATGTTGCCTTGGCATCAAGCTTGTTGTGCCGAAGTTTCTTAGGCACAAGTGCCATGCACATGCACCCGAACACCCGCAGCATATCCACCTTCGGCTTCCTTCCAATCCACTCCACATAGGGCACCCATTTGTCTTCTCCCACTTGAGTCAAGGCTCTGTTCTTGGCCACACAAGCATGCCGCACCGCATCCGGCCAAAAATAATTGGGTAGACCGGCTTCAATGAGAAGTCCCCGAGCCGTCTCCGTGAGTGTCCGATTCGCACGCTCGGCGATGCCGTTCATTGCAGGAGAGTAGGGCATGGTAAGAGAGTGCCTTATGCCCTGCTTCTTCAGCCAAGTTGAGAAATCCTTGCTCAGGAACTCTCCCCCACGGTCAGTGCGAATCGCCTTCACAAGTCGGTCTTGTTGCCGCTCCACCATCGGCAACCAATCGGTCTTCACCGTTTCAGCTACGTCACTCTTCTTCGGCAGCACATACACCCAAGTCATGCGAGTGTAGACGTCCACAATGGTGAGGAAGTACTCAGCTCTAGCAGCTCCAAGCTTCAAGGGGCCCACCACATCCATCACCACCTCATCAAGTGGTGCCTTCGCCGTTGTCTCCGAGCTATGGAATGGGTAGCGGTGAACTTGGCTTGCATGCATGTTGGACAGCCAAGCACCTCATTGGGCTCCCCCTTGACACGTATCCCACTGACCATCTCTTGCTTAACAATCTGCTGCAAAATGGGCAATGCCACATGCCCCATTCGCCGATGCAAGGTCAGCCAATCACACTCTCCCGTAGCGGAAGTCGGGTTGGAGAAAGCGGCACTCGCAATTGTGCCCCACAAGCTCTCTCCTTTCTCCTTCGCCGCTGCTGCTTTGTTGATCTTAGCCTTCTCCTCCTCATTTCCACCACCTTTGGCTGCTGCACCACTCTCCTTGGGTTCACACGCCTTGCTGGTCTCTCCAAGGTTGCACTCCTTCGAGTCACTCTTGGTGTCACTTTGCTTTCCGTGATCACCGCCACCAACCGCTTCACGCTTGGTGCTGACGCTTGCTGCCACTTGCCTCTCTTTAGGCATGGGGACCACTGGGATTTGCCACATCTCATTGTAGATGTCCCTGTCCTCATGAAGGTCCCAAAGCTTCCGCTCACCAAGCCTTGCGGTATAGGTTTTGGATCCCTTGGAAGATGTGTCCCTGCCGGCCTTATGCAAACGCCGAACGGAAATCAGGTTGGCTGCTAGGTTGGGCACCAAAAGCACGTTCTTGAGGCCCACCATCTTCCCATCAGCACCCTTGAACATGGCCTTGCCCATGCCTTTCACCTCTGCTCGCTGCCCCAAAGCCGATGTAACATGCTTGACCGGCGATGGTTCGAGTTCGGTGAGCAAGTCCGCACGAGGTGTCATGCTATAGGTGGCGCCGCTATCGATCACCCAAAAGTCCAGAGAGTGAAGGGTGACCTTTCCCACAGTA